CAGTATTATTGTTGTTGTTGTTGTTGTTAGGAGGAGGAGGAGGAATAGCAGTAGTTAGAAAAACAAATGCAGAAAGGAGGAAAAAAACTGAGTATTTTTTCAGCCTGGAGGTAACTTGATGTGAGATATGATAAGATTCTTGAGGACCAGTGTGGTGTTCTGTTCAGTGCACTGGGCTAGGGCTCAGAAGATCCAAGTTCAAATCCTGGTTCAGCCATGCCGCTCACCAGGTGACCTTGTTCCAATCACACTCGGTCAACCTGATCTACCTCAACGTGGTTGTTGTGAAGAAAGAAGAGCCATATATACCATCTCGGCTTATTGAAGGAAAGACAGAGTATTTACGTAATCCAAAAATAAACACATCCAGATATGTGAACACATTCTTAAACGTGGTGCCTCACAAAGGTGCTTAGTATTACAGGTTGCTTTAGCAGACTGAAAATGGAACCTGTTTCTTTGAGAAATACTGAGCCGTTTCCCTTACTGTGAATCTTGACACAGAGAGTACATCTGTGCCATGACTTGAAAACACCTTAACTCTGGAATTTTACAATTTAAGTAGAAGGTCGGGCCAGAGCCATTCCATCCATTATTAGAGGATGCTCCCTCGGAGGGCAGATATTTGTTTCTTTGCTTGGTTATTCACATTGCCTCTCTCCCTATATAAGCCACCCAAGGCGGTTTGCAACATTTAAATACAAGCATGTAACACACAATAAACCATTCAAACGATTAAACAAACAAGAATTAAAACATATCCACCTTGATAACAGTTTACCTTGACTCATGGAGCTTGCTTATTATTTCCAAGTCGGCATCTGAATAAGTGGGCTAAACTCTGCAAAAGCTTATACAGTACCTGACAAAACTTACTATAATCTTAACTATCCCACAAGATTTTTTGTGATTTGCTAACAAAGCCACTCTTCCGGAAGAAAACAAATGTTATGGTTTCCATCACATTTATATCTTTCTTTTCCTTTCATTGAGCTCCTGGCAAGGTGACACAGCTTCATGCTACCAACAACCCTGTGAAGTAGACCAAGGACCCCATGAGTTTCATGGCTCAGTGGGGACCTGAAGCTGGCCCTCCCAGATCCCAAGCCAACGCTCTAACCATTACTCCGCACTGACTCGGCCATGGGCAAGTCTGTCTGCCGGGGTATGAACTCGCCTCGGGCGGCAAAATTCCTTGGGCGGCTGTTGGGCTTTTTCGGTCTACACGCCCCCCCTCTTTCCCAATTCCATAATTTCAACACACACACACTGCCTGCTTTTTCTCTTTCTCCACCATCACCCGATTGTATAATGTAAGATGCAAAAAAGGTATCCCCGATTTTGCACAAGGGAAAGGAAAACAAGGGTCACCCCCCCATCCATCCTCTTCCCACGATCTACCCAGAGGAAATGTCTCCTTCCCCGCTCTTCTTGCACGTTCTCACCCGCATTTGCACACCCCACGCTTGTCCACGCCGCGTCTTCCTTGCCACGGGAATTGCATCCAAATCCGAGTCTTAAATTCAAGCTTGCACGAGAGGCGGGCTCGATGGCACCTTCCACAAGACCGGTCTACTTCCCGACCAATCACCGCCCCGATCTTCCTCCTCGGCCAATCAGACTCCCCAGACCCCTCCCACCCGAAGCGTTTCTGGGAATTGTGGTCCCTCTTCTCATCCTTCCAGGAGCAGGGGATTCTGTGCATTGTAGCTATTGATCCGTTGAGCAAAGGTGGAGGTTGACTTTTACTGCCTCCATCACTATATAAATATACTGTAATAT